CTATATACCGACATTTAATTAACTATTGATAGGTCCAACAACTAGTGCATATAGTGTTAAGGTTACGGAGTCCATAAAAACTTAGGTTATAAAAATAAGGGATATGATATTGTTACTACTAACTAATATTATTATCAATATCACTATCATATCTTAATTATTGATTTCTGTCAACCAACAGTTATTATTTTCACAGATCAAACTCATTAATTAATTATTAATTAGTAATAAATGATAACTGTTGATGGGCAGAAATCAACGGTTAAGATATGATAGTAATATTGATAGTAACATTATTTGGTAGTAATAATATCATATCCCTAAAAAAATGGGATAGGATATTGTTACTCATTATTTGGTACTACCAATGTCACTATCATATTTTAACTGTTGATTTTCGTCAATTAACGGTTATTATTTTCACAAATCAAACTCAATAATTAATTATTAATTCGTAATAAATGATAATTGTTGATTGTTGATTGGTGAAAATCAACGATTAAAATATGATAGTAATATTGATAATAATATTATTTAATAGTAAGAATATCCTATTCCTAAAAAAATAATACTTACTCATGTTGGATTTAATCTGTTCTACGCGGTGTTATTAAAATCGGACCGACCCGGCCGGGTCGACCCGGGAACCAGTAAACTGGTCATATAACCGGTCCGGTTGAAGCAACGAACCGGCCATGCATCAGAACCGATGTGACCCGGTCCGACCCGACCGATTTTCATAAAAACCGGTGACCCAGTCGGTTAATCGGTGACCCGGCCCGGTTCCAAAAAAAAATCATAATGGACATATTTGAATATTTTTTTGCTTATTGAATTACATAATTTATGTACCTACAACACTAATATTATCTTAATTATGTACTATACACAAAATTGTGAATTAATTTATAGTTAGAATATCTCAACACGCCCCTTCATACGATCGAGAGCCCACTGGACTTGAAGGGTGGACAATGTATAAATAGGTGGACCTCTTTAATGATTTATATATTATATTTAAACAGAAGAGTTTAAAAAAGAAGAACTAAGGGTATGTTTGGTGCATAGTATAGGATAAGGCCTGATAGTATAAGACCTGATAGTATAAGGCCTGATTGTACAAGACCTGATTGAATTTTAATACTATCCAGCGTTTGGCACGGTATTGTATAAAATAATATATTGTATAAGATAATATCATCTGGTATTTGATAATGCACTATATAATACTATGGATAAAAAAAAATATACTTTAATAAAAAATTTATATAATTCTTCAAAAAATGTCATATGATATTAATTTTTATAAAAATTTATTGATCAGTGTGTCCAAAACATAAATTAATTTTTGTAAAAATAAAAATATTCAATATTTTAAAAATTAATATATTGGAAAATTAATTTTTATTTTAATATATTAATATTAAAATAATATATTAATTTTTGATAATTACACTGGTCACTGGTCAACGATGTTAATACACCAACTTTTTATCAGGCCTTATCCCTCCTCCTTAGACCGGATTAAGTTATACATCATTTTGATGTATTAAAGGATCCTGCCTTATACTATACGATGGTCACACCAAACAACTGAAGATGTCATAACGTATAGTATAAGTTTATACTATGAATCCTTATACGTCACACCAAACATGCCCTAATACACATATGAATAGCGTGGTTCGGCGCCCCCTATTAATACGTGTGTAGTGTAATGCATTGGATGATTTTGATCACCTAATCTGGATCAAACCTCAAATTGTCTTTCCCATGCAAAATAATAAATAAATCAAATCAAATCAAATACCAGAAGAGTTTTAGTTTGTCAGGTGAAGGAAGGCATGCTATATATATCCTGAACTAAAAAAATCTGTCCACTGATCATGGAACAAATAAATAATATCAGTATATGTACATGTCGTTGTTTATATATTATTAAAGAAAAGCATTTTATATCGTCGCTCACCGTTTCTTAATATGCCAAATACATCGTCCAAACTTGCTGCATACTTAACCTTCACGTAAAGTTAGATGTCAACACACCTCGAAATATTGGAATGTTCCATATAATCAATACTGTGCCTAAGCATAATTTGAATCAATTATCTTCATTAATTATTTATAGTTATCTCATTGTCATTGATCAACTCTTCTAATCGAAACACAACTGATAATTAAAAAAAGTTAACGACTATGAATGAATCCAATTCCGGTAAGGGTGAGGGAGTATAGCGGCATCATACAGGAACGGGTGTTATTATTAAGTAGGGTCAGCAAAATAGGCTAAACTTGACAGGGCGAGTTGGCTCGTTTTTTGGCCGGTTGATGACAAAGAAAAACAAGACAGGGCGGGGAAGTATAAAACATGTTCAGGCAGACGGGCCAACCTGCACCACCCGTCAAACGAAACGGGATAGAATGAATTTTTTAGTTCACTTTCAAAAACGGAACAGGTAGGCGGATTTACTTTTTAGGGGACGAGCATCTCATTTTGCCACCTCTACTATTAAGAAAGCCAAGAAGCATCAAATTGGGAATATGCTGAAGAATGAATTATGCTGTGGCAGACTTCAACAGTCAACCTTTTTCAATATATAGAGAACCAGCTTTCTGATTCCTGGTGACGCATCCGAAATATTATGTCCAAGCAAAGAACGTGGTTTCCTTCATAGATAAACTAAGAGTTTGCTTGATATTCCCAAATTAAAATATTTTACTTCGAAAATCTTTTAAAAAAAAATTTATAACATTCTCTAGGATAGCTGAGTAAAAGGTCGTCGCTCCCATCGTTTTTATTGAGAGGAATATTCCCCGGTGTTGTTAGATTTTCCAATCAAAGATTCCTATTCATCTTCCATTTTGATTTGCATTTTCTTAGTTTTTTTTCAGCTATGACATTGAAAAATAGGGGTTCAAGTGATACTTTATCCAATAAAATAAAAAATAAAAAATACTTTAAAAATCTTTGTTATTATTTTTTGAAAAAAAAAAATACTAGTATAGCTGAGTAAAAGGTCGTCACTTCCATCGTTTTTATTGAGAGGAATATTCGTCGGTGTTGTTAAATATTCTAATCAAAGATTCCCATTTATCTTCCATTTTAATTTGCATTTTCTTAGTTTGACAATGAAATTAGGGGTTCACGTGATACTTTCTCCCAAATAATAATAATAATAATAATTCTGTACTATCTTTATTTAAACTTTTATTATTCAGTTTGCGATATTTTACATAAAATCTAAAATTTATAAAAATAATAATACAATACTTTTTATTTGGAAAAAAAAATATCTACGCGGATCCCAAGAATTATCATTTGTAAAATAACATGCTATAATGTTTGTATTTGAGTCCTTGTTTAAAAATGATCATGTTGTTTAATCACAATTACTTATTTAAAAATTATACATTTTTTTTTCTCTTATCTCATTATTAATAAATAATTGTGATTAAATAACATGAGTACATAATCCCTTTTAAACATGAAAGAATCCAAATTCATAGCGTTTCTAACAAATTTCCCCCTCCCGGGTAAAAACACACCATGTCGCATTCTTCAAACCTTCAAAATCAGAATGCTGCCCAAGAATGAGGCTAGATGTCAACATTTCTTGTCACCAAGCGGAATTTGGCACATTCTTTTAATACACGATATTTATATTAGCTTTACTGTTTGGAGACACGATGATTTTAGGTACAGAGACATATCAACAACCATTTCTTAAAATCGTTATAGCTTTGAAGCATTCGTACAAAACACACTCAATTTAAATCATTTTAGAGCTTATACCTTCCTTTGCTTCTTAGATTTCATTCATAATTGAATAATACAATTTACAACTTTGTTTGCAGGAAAAAATAATTGAACATTATAGACATGTTGTAGCATCTTTTCCAAATATGAATTTTAATCTAAAATAATTTGTTAGTATATTTATCAATTAAGCTGTGGTAAACTATACAAGCTAACTCTTGCCACAAAATTTGAAATTCACTTGTCTTGTTTCTTTTTCTTAGTGCATAAGAGCAGTTTAACTATACAAGATACAAATCCCCCGCTAATCAGATAGAAATTGTTTTCTGAAGAAACCACCACCACCAGTCCAAAAGTCTCCACCTTTCTGACATGACACATTTACGGATTTACCAATAAAGGTGGAACCTTTGGCTTGCAATTATTTACAACCGTGGTTTCAATGACAAGCTGATCGCTAAAATAAACATGTTTCTCAGTATAATAATTAGCAAAACTTACAAATAAGAACTACTCTGATTAATTATTTACACATAACAGTCAAGATTATTCAGTTTACAAACCAAATTAAAACCAAATTAAATACATGTTTACTAAGCCCCTATGCATATATACTTTGACAGCACGTATGAGTTATCCTTGTATGTAAGTTTCCCTAACAAATATATATATATATATATATATATATATATATATGAAAAAAAATATTTCTCAAGTAGCTTGAGATATATTTATCTCTGTCTACACAAAAACTACGTCGTTTTGTTTATTTATTTTTTTATATTAATTGATTCATCTTTGAATGGTTATAATTTTCTTTTTCTCTTTCTTCTTTTATCACCATTGATTTATCTTTATCTTTATACGGTTATAATTTAGTAGTCGGAGATAAAATTATCTCAAGCAACTTAAGAAATGATAAGACATACATACATACCTACACACAGAGAGACACACACACAGACACACATACACATACACACATACATAAATTGCCCTTCTTATTTCAAAAAGTCGAAGAAATTTAGGAAAGAATTGGGCCCAGAACCAGAACACGTTACCCGTAATCCAATGCCTTTGTGGTAATGAACCTTGACGGCCCAATCCAATTGCAGATACTAGAGTTGCAGGCAGGCCTTATTGTGGTATCCATACCACGCAAGCATTAACTGCATTATACTTGAATTAAATGAATATTCACACTAATTAGTTTAAAATAACAAATATCAATTAAGTTAACCACTTGTAATTTGAAAATTACATCGCGAAGTATACGTGCAAAATACGAGTAGGAGACCCCTCCCTTCTTTTCTTGAAAAATAAATGTAAAAAATGTACTATACCAATAACAATCGAAGTACATTGGAAGTAGAAGCAATGAAAGCACAAGGCCTACTCAGATGATTGCTTCCAGTAACCTGAAATGTACATGAATGTAAGAACTTTAGTTAATCATGAAGGTTCGCAGTTAAGGAGAAAAATAGAACCTAAATGAATATATTAGTGAATAAACGCACTATATAAGACATGGGGAAAAAGAAACATCTTCAACTGGTCCGTGTTGATAGCTGATGAATGTGATTGCCAAATGTCTTAGCCTGTTTTCTTGATCAACCAGGACAAAACTGATTGTCATTTCACCTATATAGTTTGTCTCACATAGAAGGCAGCCAATCGAAGTGAAACAAGCCAATTATATATCCATAGGCAACTAAACCTCTTCTTGATGAATCATTTCATGGATCCCAGTACATCTAGTACTTTCTGAATCTCTAATCTTTAGAGACTCTAATAATTAAACCAGTTGGAGTTTGGTCAGTTCTGAGATGACCAGAACCAATCAAATCACGAAGATGAAATCTCATATCAAGTGGAGACATTCGAAGACGCTTCTTTTCCAATGAGGCCAGCATCATCTCCTTGTAACTACGACGGCTGAGAAGAGAAATAATTTCCTTTCTTCCCTGAAAAACAAAGTAAAAACAATTTCATTATAATCTTAAAAATATTTTCTCAGGATCAAAATATATCAAAAATTACAAAACTTTTAGGTAAAAAAAATTCTGGGCATCTCATTCTGCCAAAGAGTACAAATATGAAATACTGTCAGGTTTCAAATGACTACCCAAATCATACCTCAATCCATACAAATTATCCCCCACTCAGTCCATAGAATAAATATCTCCGGTAATAAAGTTCAAAAATGGATTTAGCCGCGTTTGCAATGGCGCATAACAATTCAAGCTCAATCTAATAGAGACCCCTACTATGATGTAATCTATGCTCAATCATTTACTTGATAACTCTCCCAATTTATACTAATTTTTCAGCTCGAAATTTGTAAGATCCTAAGAGGTGAGTTAAAATGAAGATATCAGCTTAAAGGTTTAGTTTGCAGAGTTAAAGAGTTATGATGTATAATACAAATGTCTTAATATCAAGTATCTGATCGTAAACCTAGCACATAATAAGCTCTAAAAATCATACAATACCACCAGCGCATCACATAAAAGTTAGAAATAAAGCCATTAATATATTGTTTGTTATCCATACCAATTTGCCGAGCTAAATGCAAATCTCTGGATTAACCTCAAAATAGTAGCAAATGTTCAAATACTTAACAACACAGTTGAAGTACTAAAGTCAAATATGAACATATATAGATTCAACTATATCGCAAGCATCCAGACATAAAAGACATGGGGTAAACGTTAAATATTCATACCTGAACAAGACCCTTGAGAAGTGAGCCAATATTTGGAATTGTAAACCAATACATGTTTGGATCAATAAGTTGCCTAGTCTGAAAAGTATGTTTAAGAGTTATACATAAATACTCATCCCCAAAAAGAAAAAAAAAGCATTCATTCAAACACACATTGTAGATGAAAATAAATACATGGCAGAGATAATCAATATAAAACTACACAAGAATCGCATAAAGTACATTTAAATGATAGGGAAATTTGTGCAGACAAAGATTCCTAGCTGTTGTAAACTAAAGCTGCATATAATCAACATTAGAAGGATAACTGGATAAGCATGATTTGGTTAATCAAAGGGAAAGTTTGTTATGTCTAGTAGGATTTTAAAACTTGAAATAAGATGAGGAAAGGCTGCAAGTTTCTCAATGCAGCAAATAATGCTTAACGTTGACAATAGAAAACACAGAAAATTAATGGTTTATAGGATTTTCAATGATGTCTACATAAATCAACAAATTCTAGAAAAAGGGTTAGGAATGTACGATAAGATCAAACAAGTAACAAGGAAGAGAGAACAAGGTTGCAGTTTTCTTTTCTTTTCCTTGTAAGAACAAGCTTTCTTCACAAGGGTCCCCCCTTCACAACTAAGCCCTCAACACTTGGTTCATCTGGTAGAATTCCTGACTGACCCCCTCTGTACCCCTATCCTCCTATTTAACTCAAGAATTGATCTAACCATTTTTCCCGCTTAATTACAACCCTTCTAAATACCCTAACTTCTCTTTCCATTTGTTCCTTCTTGCGTACAACTTCCAGACCCACTTACCATCATGCTGAGGTCTAACAACAGCCAATCATTGAATATAAACAAATTGAGCAATGCTTTATACTCCGTGTTTACTCACAAGGATGCCAGCATTAATTAGAAGGGAGATGTGACTGTCCTTCACCTTTCCCCCATGTGACAAGAGTGAGCACTGCATCAAAAAGAGCCATCCTCAGCACAGAAACCCATTTAGTAAATATCCTGGTATAACATAAATATTGACCAGCCTATATGGTTTAAAATCAAAGTATCAAACTATAAGATTAAAGCTGGTAACTGGAAAACATGTTTTGATTTTAGTATTTATCACTATAAATGTGGATATGCCAGATTCCCATATTGTGAATTCGCAGTCTCCCAAAGTCAGGGCATTTGCCACATTATAAAGATTTTTTATGAGTAGACAGTGAAACGAGCAGAACTGGAAATGATTAAAATTAAACAGAAGTAAGCTGATTTGCATATCTCTCACTCACAAGCTCCAGATGTTCAATGCCGGTTTCCAGCTTTGAATCTAGAACATGAGTTTTGAACCACCCAAAAACTTCATATTCCCCTCCTTTATTTCCTTCCATTCTTTTAACAACACGATCTATCTATGCATGAATATATAGAAAAGATAAACATGTCAGTACATCGACAATCCTTCAGAAACATAACTTGGACAGAAGGAACCTGCTGTATTGAAACCAAAAACACTAAAGGAATTTAAAAATTAATAAAAAATAGGAAAGGAAATATAATAAAACAAAACAAAACTTCCAAATTGAGGACACTTGAGTAGCACTCTATTAGAGTATACGAAGTATAGTACTACTGCTAGTACCTAGAGCAACTACTGTTAGTTAGTTCTACTAATTCAGTTAGTTCAGTTAGCCTAGCTGGTAGTCAGTTAGATATTTCACATCTGATTCAGATCTGCTATTCAATTGTACAGCTGTCCAAGCATCTGTAGCTCTGTATATACCTTCTCTGTGTATCAGAGAAGACAGATTCAATAACATTCTCTTATTCAGAAACTATTCCTCTATTCTCTCTCACCTTTCCCTCACTTTCCTTCATTTTTTCTCGGTTTCTATTACACTATTATGAACAGTTGACATTATGGCCACACACACACACACGGCATATATCTTAAATATATGTATCTAATATATATATGCGGCAATTTTCAACATGACCCGCTAATACGACACGAACATGACACGAAAAAATTCGTGTTCGGATTGACACATTTTCAAATTCATCTCATGTTTGTGTTGGCAAAATCTGAGCCGAAAAAACTCGTGTAGTATCGTGTGTCAACTCCCGAACCCGAAATTGACCTGCGTTAATCTCCTTACAGGTTATTCGTGTCGTGTCGTGTTGAAAACAGATTATTCGTGTTTTATCATGCCATATCAACCCATATAATAAGTAACACAATTTGGGGATGATAGGTTATTTATGTCGTGTCGTGTCAACCCGCATAATAAGCGACACATTATGAGTTTGCAGGCTATTCGTGTCGTGTCAACCCGCAAAAATAAGTGGGTCGTGCTCATGTCGAAAATTTTAACCCGATTTCAAATTTGTGTCGTGTTCGTACTGAGTGTTTTCGTATTAGTGTCTTGTTGTGTCGACCCAAATTATGAAACCAACCTGCTTTAGGTAGTCATCCAAAAACATTACAGCATGGTCATCTTGTCCAGTATTTAATTTGAAAAGGCGCAGCACTTTGTCCCTCCTTAGAGACTGCACAAATAAAATATATCATTATTATCACACTAATCCATCAAAACTCCTGAACTTAAAATTAGCAAGAACATAGCAGGGGAGGAAACATTATTGTGTAGCAAATGACAACAGTAACACTAAAATTCTAAATTGTTAAACAAACCTCTAATTCCCTATCCACTTGTGTTCTGTCCTTAACACTGCTATACAATTGTGACTTCAATATAAACGGCTCAACCGAAACCTGAAAACAAGCATCATTAATCCAAACTGAATTGAATAAGGGAAAAACATAAATTTTTAAATATTTAAAAAAAAAAAAAACAGCGAGAGAGACAATGCAGAAGATGACCTAACCTTGTGAATGTGGGGAAACTGAGCTCGAATGATTCGAAGCGCAACCAGCGTGTCGGTGAATGTAAGATCGTCCTCTGCAAATTGCAATACAGATTAATCTAACCTAGAAAGAGAAAGAAAGGCAGACAATAAGAGAGGATTGCGTACCGAGTGATGAGGTGTTTCCGGCATCGTAATCTTCATCTCGCCGGCGTTTCGTCCCTTTCGATGAAGATTCTGGAATGTTCTCCATACGCAGTGCGTGCGGGATTTCAACTTCCTATAACGCTGAAATTTCACCGCTAGAAAAGGTTCTACTGTTCATGCGAGCGAAAAGCAATGAAGTCATTTCAGCATGTGCTACTATCGCGAATGTATATAATCAGAAACAAAAAAAAAAAAAAAAAAAATATTAGACATAGTAAATTTTCAATTCACCTTGTGAAAAAAAGAATATTTCTTATATATATATATATATATATATATATATATATAGGGGTTTATTAATCTTATGTTACATGAGAGTACTATCTCATGTGGGTGATACAAATATGTGGGGTCCACAATTTAAAATGAAAAGAAAAAAGAAAAGAAAAAATTTGCACAAAATTCTATGAGTGTATAACATGAGATATGTATCTTATGTTGCATGAGAGTATCATTTCCCATATATATATATATATATATAAGGTAGGATCATTTGACACCTCAACTGAGAGTCGTTAGATCAAAAAAGATCACTGGTGTCACATGCTTTCAAATCAGAGTTGATCAAAGGATCCTATATATATATGGGTTTTATAAGAGTTATGTTGTAGGAAAAGTGATTGTGTAATGTTATAAAGATTCGTTTTGCGTGCCGTAATTTCTTTTTTTTCTTTTTTCTTCAAAAAGTGTGGGCCCCACAAAATGTTGTATGTAGAAAAGTTTGTTGTGTCATGTTAAATGACAAATGCTAACCCATACATATATATATATATGGGACAAGATATACTTACCACCAAAAAAGTTTACCACATTTACAACCAACCAAATCACCGTTGATTTCCGTCAATCTAACGGTTATAATTTATTGTAAATTAATAATTAATTAATAAATGCGACCCAATACTTTCCAATAAATTATAACCGTTAGATTGACGGAAATCAACGGTGATAAGGTTGGTTGTAAAGGTTATAAACTTTTTTGGTGATAATATATTTCCTCTATATATATATATATGGGATAGGATCCTTTGACACCAGTGTCAAATTTAAAGTTTGACACCTTATCTGAGAGCCGTTAGATCAAAGATGATCAATGGTGTCACATGCTTACAAATCAGAGTTGTTGATCTTTTTTGATCTAATGGCTCTCATATAAGGTGTCAAACTTTAAATTTGACACCAGTGTCAAAGGATCCTACCCCTATATATATATATATATATATATATATATATTGTTCGGTCCAAGAGAACCGCAAATCTATACATTATGATATTCATTCAGAGATATCTTAGATATAGATATCCTAATTGGCTTATAGCCAATACTCCAATACTGCGCACAAGCAATAGACTTAACGTGTGTGCAAAGTGTTGGCAGTAATAGTAAATAAGTTAAAAGTGTGTACCTGGGTCTTTAGCTTTTTATTTATAGGGTTTATCTCTTGAGCTTGGGCTGTATAGATCTCTCAGTTGTTGTAGGATTCAACCTCTAGTTATTAGGGATAGGGGTTATATCTCTTTACCTTCATTATCTTTTGTTGTTGAGACAGATGTGCCATTATCCATTGCGGGATTTATGGGATAGGCAGTTAAGATATGGTGATATTCCATAACAGTTGCCCCCTAGCTCGATATATCCGATGTTCGGATTACCGAGATGAATGTCTTTGTCTTCAAACTCAGTCTTTCTTTTGTCATAGCTCGGATTGCAAGTTTCGATGTGGAGGCTTCAGGGCTTGGAATGCAGTTCCCATTTTATTTGCACCTATGTCAGGTCGGCCATAAACGATGCCGACCTGTTTCCCAGTTCTCATCATAAGCCTCGGTTTAGGAATTTCCTTCGTCCGAGTTTGAATTGTGAGTCGATTTGACCTTTTGGCTTCTTCGCAATTTTTGGTGGTTACGTCTTTCCATGTGTCTTCTTGCGATTGGGGCTTCGTGCATCGTGGTATGTGCACTGTCCTCCTTTTACGCAGGCCATGAGTACTTTCATTAAATGCATGCCCAAGGAAGTTACTGTTTTTCCTTGACCTTTCGTCTTTGCATTGGCCTTTGGCTTTCCCGCCTCCTACCTCTATATATTTTCATCTCAGGAATTGTTTTTCATTTCTGCTTCCTTTGGTGTTTAGCTTCCTAGAATTTCTGAATCCTGAAGCTTCGTTCGTCCAGTTTTCGTGCTTTCTCCTGCTTTCATTTAAACAAGTACATTTCAGACACTTCTTTCTTATGCATTTCACTATTTTGCATTTCGAATGTTTGGTGTTGGGGTTTGTATTTTTAATCGTCACATTGTGTTCGTTTACTTTGAGTGACCGTGAGGGTGGTTATGGAGTTTGGGTTTGTTGCTTACATCTTTACGCACCTTCTTCTTTGTTCATTCCCTTAATTCAAAATTTCGGGGTCATTCTCCTTTCATTATTCCCATTATTCGATTTAGAAATGACCACTGCAACATCTGGGTCTGGTACGAATCCAAGCCGAGATGGAAATAAGGACGAGGTCAATAAGAGAGAGAATTCGAAGGAGCATGAGTTTATTAAAACATTATCGAAGTCGATCCGTCTCTGGTTTTATGGTGAGGATTACACCGAGGAGGAGACCACTCAAATGCTTTTGCATAGTCACCGAGGTGGACGTGGTAAACGAAGGACGTCGTCTTCTGTTCAGGGAAAAGGGCATGCCAGGTCGGCTGGCAGTCATCAACGGGGTTGTGCTAGGTTGGTCAAAGGTCGTTTGGTTCAATATATACTCCCTTATAAACCAACCATAGCATCGTGTTCCACCGCTGGCTTGAAGATTGCGGAGGAGGGAGTAAGGGCTCTCCAATTCCGACTTCGATGGTGCCGATTACCAAAAACCTCAATCCTGGTCTGAGTTCCAAATCTATTTTAGATCGGATCCCCGCTCTAGAACTTGGTGATAGTTCTTCCTCCTCTTCTTTCTCTAACTTTGAATTTGCCAACTTCTCTATTTCCACCTCAGTGGGGGTTCCATATACACCCTCAGATCAGTCTCCCCTTATTGTTCTTAGTGATTGTGTTTCCTCTTCTTCCATATCAGATTAGATCTCGACAGGTTTGACATTAACCATAAAGGTTTGAGCCCCTTTTATTTTCTTTATATGCTGATTCCTACCATTCGACTTCAGGAGTAGATGATAGCTATGATTGGGCCTTGTTGGAGATCCTCAATACGTGATCTCAGCTAGGGGTGTCAATATAGTTTATGACACGTAGGTCGACCCGCGACACGACACGAAAATTCGTGTTCGGGTTGACCCGTAAAAAAAATCGTGTCGTGTTCGTGTTGAAAAAAATGACATGTAAAAAATTCGTGTCGTGTTCGTGTTGAGGTATTCGTGTTCGTGTCGACCCATATTTTTTTTAATTATTTCATTTTTATTTTATTATTATTATTTTTAATTTTTTAAAATTTTGAACCTTTTTTTAAAAAAAAATTGTCAATTACCGATTTAACCCCTATTTTGCGTGTTATTTGTGTCGTGTCGTCTCAACCCGCAAAAAATTCGTGTCGTGTCAGTGTTGAAGATTTTGACACGAATAAAAATTTGTGTCGTTTTCGTGTTGATGTATTCGTGTCGTGTCAGATTCGTGTCGTGTCAAATTCATGTCGTGTCAACCCGTTTTGACACCCCTAATCTCAGCTTTCTCATGTCGAGGATATGGGATCCCTGTAGGGAATACGTCAGCAGTGGATCTCATTCCTCTTGGTGACATTCCAATTTGCATCGGTCCAAGTGTTGGTGAACCCCATTTTTTCTTCCACCATAGGGACATGATTACAAAGTTGGGGTTAAGGTTTCCTTTTTTCGACTTCCAGGTGGCCGTGCTTTATTGCCTTCGTGTTGCACCCACACAATTTCATCCAAATTCGTGGGCTTTTATCTGCGGGTTTGAACAAGTGTGCATCGTACTTGCCCTCCTATGTACCGTTCCTCTCTTCTTTTTTATGTTTAATGTATATACCGCCCAAACTGGGAGGAAAAATGGTTGAAAGACTGGGTTACGAACCGCGGTGCTCCTAATCGCGGGATTTTTATCCCTAACTCATAGTCTTTCAAGAATTTCAAGGACTGTTTTTTTAAAGTGGCGGTTCATCCTGGATGCCGGCCTTGGTTCGCGGTCGAGGCTTTCGAGGACGAAGAGTTTGCAGCTCGGTTAGAGCTTTATTGGACCCAAAACCACTATATCAAGTGGTCGAAGCATTACACAACCTGCAAATCCTCTCTTTTCGATGAGGAGCCATTAGGCTTTAAGTGTTTAAGATCTTATGCTCTAGGTTACGGTCTGATTGACTTAAGCCATATTGTGGATAAGTTTGAGAATGATCTTCGCCGAGAACTCGGTTTTCTTAATTGTGTTGTTTATCTCCGCGGTCAGTATATGACATTGCTCTTATCTTTGCAGGATACATAACGGACGACGATTATCGCCGTTATAAGAAGAAGAGAAAAGCTTTGGTGAGGGGGAAGTCGTCGGACCCTCCATCTACTGGAGTTCAAAATACCAAGTTCCATGATTTGAATAGGCCCAGCTCAACTGCCCTGGTACATCCACCTCCACCTCTATAAGAACCTGCACCGTTAAATTAGAAATTTAATTAATTAATTATAAGATTAATGAGATAATTCCATAATTGACCCTAATAATTATGAGAAGGCTTAAATAAGTATAGTAAGTGAATATTAATGTTGAAAGTCGTTTTTCTGACGAAAAGTGCAGATACCGGTTCTGCTCCACGGTGTAAGTGCGTACCGATGAAGTATCCCGAAAAATTATGAAAAGTGTGTATATATTACTAGAATAATATATAGGACTATTATAACAAGTTTGAAGTCAAAATAATGAGAATTGGTGTCAGAACTGATATTGGCTACGTAAAAGCGCGTACCGGCAAAGTGCTGTGAAAAATAATATAAAAATATGACAATTCTTAGAAAAATGGCTAGGTTCAGAATCCAAAGTTTGGGATTAAAACGCTAAGTGTAGCCATTAGTGCTAATACAGTGCAATTAAAACTTAAGTGGACTATATAAGGACTTGGCACATGATCCTAAGTCATTTTGGTGCCTTCTACGTGACTCATTTCT